TGCTTATGCAAGTATGTATGTTTGTGTGTGTGTGTGTCCTTTATGCATTATTGCGCATTTCAACCGATCGCCATGAAACTTTGGGGAGTTAATGAGAATACTCATAAGAATGTTTCTGCAAAAAAAAAAAAAATAATAATAGGCTTCCCATTTTGGCACCCGGAGGAATTAACCATGCTTGAATTATTTTGCAGAATACTAATATGGTTGTTTCCCTTTGCCCGTGTGACTTGTAGTTTCTCAATGTTTGCTTGCTGGTAATTCGGTCATCAATTCGACTTTGTTTCCAACTACCCTTACAACTACCTTTCTGCTCAAATGATATGAATCAAACTCTGTGTAACAATGTCTGCATAATTTTACACATTTTACACGATATTTTACTCGACATTTTACACGACGTTTTACACGATATTTTACACGACATTTTACACATTTTACAAGACATTTTACACGTCATTTTACTCGACATTTTACACATTTTACACGATATTTTACACGATATTTTACACGCTATTTTACACGATATTTTACACGACATTTTACACGACATTTTACACAACATTTTACACGATATTTTACACATTTTACACGACATTTTACACGACGCTTTACACGACATTTTACACGACATTTTACACGACATTTTACACGACATTTTACACGATATTTTACACGATATTTTACACGACGTTTTACACGACGTTTTACACGCCGTTTTACACGATATTTTACACGACATTTTACACGACATGTTAGTCGGAGTGGTAGAGAGCCTGACCTGGAACAAACACTTGTACTGAAATCAGATGACCTAAATATGTGCTGAACAGTTTACGGGGAACAAATTTTACGCTTGTCTGGACGTTCTGCTTTGGTAATGTTAGGTAAGTCCTATCTTTGTGCACAAGATTGTCAGAGCTTCTCTGATTTATACACGTTTGTCTGTGTGTAGTGGCAATTGTCGACTTATTTGAGTCTAACATAGTGCTAGGGTCCAGGCACTTCAGTTACAAATTGAATTGAATTCAGGCACGTCACAGAAATTGAAAATGTCAATTTTTAAACTTAAAAAATGCAATATACATATTCAGCGGGAACAGAGCATTACCCCCCTCCCGTCAATTACCCACCGGTAGCTTGGGATAGGTTTAGGTTTAGGTTTAGGTTTAGGTTTAGGTTTAGGTTTAGGTTTAGGTTTAGGTTTAGGTTTAGGTTTAGGTTTAGGTTTAGGTTTAGGTTTAGGTTTAGGTTTAGGTTTAGGTTTAGGTTTAGGTTTAGGTTTAGGTTTAGGTTTAGGTTTAGGTTTAGGTTTAGGTTTAGGTTTAGGTTTAGGTTTAGGTTTAGGTTTAGGTTTAGGTTTAGGTTTAGGTTTAGGTTTAGGTTTAGGTTTAGGTTTAGGTTTAGGTTTAGGTTTAGGTTTAGGTTTAGGTTTAGGTTTAGGTTTAGGTTTAGGTTTAGGTTTAGGTTTAGGTTTAGGTTTAGGTTCAGGTTTAGGTTTAGGTTTAGGTTTTGGGTTATGGTTAGGGTTATGGTTAGGGTAAGGGTAGGGGCGTAGCGAGGGGGGGCGGGGGGTGCGGACCGCACCGGGTGACACCATTTAGGGGGTTGACACCAAGGCAAAAAATAGCAAAATATATAGAGAAAATCTTGAGGTAGGGTGCAAATCGAAAGTTTGAGGGGGGGGGGGTGCAAATCAAAAGTTTGAAGGGGGGTGCAAATCGAAAACTTGAAAGTTTGTCTTCGGGAAGGGTCACTACGCCTCTGGGGGGTGACACCATTAAGTGCCGCACCGGGTGACACCCGACCTCGCTACGCCACTGGTTAGGGTTAGGGTTAGGGTTAGGGTTAGGGTTAGGGTTAGCGTTAGGGTTAGGGTTAGGGTTAGGGTTAGGGTTAGGGTTAGGGTTAGGGTTAGGGTTAGGGTTAGGGTTAGGGTTAGGGTTAGGGTTAGGGTTAGGGTTAGGGTTAGGGTTAGCGTTAGGGTTAAATCAAGATCTAGCTTGGGTTTGGCTTTGGGTTAATTTTAGGGTGAGGTGAATTCTTAGGTTTTTCATCTTTGTCTTAAGGTTAGGATTATGGTAATAAAGAGGTATATAATTAGAGTTAGAATCAGGATTCTATCTTGGTGTATGGGGGGGGGGGGGGGTATTCCCCAGGGGGGTTATTGACAGGGGGTAATTGCTCCGGGGGTAAATACGGGAGTGAATGTTCGGGGGTTGGATATGTGGTTGGATATGTCCCGATGGGGTTGGGGGTTAATGTCCTGTAGCCATATTTAGCACACTTATCTGAAATTAATTAAGCAAAATATCAATACAAATGCCATAATTTGTTCAAAAATGTCTAATTTCTTTATCAATATACAAGAAAATAATATTACTAAATAATAGGTCAACATAAGTTAAATCAATAAAACTATATATATATTAAAATATTGACAACAATTTGGGATTTTTACAAGCTTTTGTATAACTTGCTTCCTCTGTTGTGGAATTTAGAGCACTTTTAACTGACAGATTCTTTTCAAAGTTGGCACGTGGGTCAAGACTTGAAGACAATGCAATCTGACATCAAATTTGACATATTACATATTTTTAAGTTCTGTCGTGTAAAATGCCGTGTAAAATGTTGTTTAAACTATTTTCTTTAAATACATAATAATACACAACTATTTAAATAACTATATTGAAAAGTGCGGGTCTCTAGTAAAGGTATGCAAAATATAATAAAATGACCCACGCTTTTCTTTATAGTAGTTTAAATAATACTGAATTATTATATATTAGGAGACAATTATTTATTTTCTCCATTTATAGTGCATTATAACATAAAAGCTTTTTTATTAAAACGTATTTTATACAATTGTATTACTTAATTTGGAGAAATGTTTATTTCACGAGAATTTCAAAAGTAGATGTTATGTTTGGTAAAATTTCTTCTATTATACAAAAAGTTTGTTGCGTGGCGAAGCACCGGTATGAAATCACATCATTAGCTATTGCCGATCAATCTCATCTGAACATTAAAGTACGATTTCATAATACAATACAAAGAGCATACAGTGTTAAATGGAGAACAAAAATTGTCACGTTTTAATACGCATTGCATGATCTTATTGACACTTACAAGACCGAAGTCTTTTATTTAATGCCTTAATTTTTTGTTATTTATTTTTTTTTTATTTTTTTTTTTTTTTTTTGGTTTCTAGCTAACAAAAGGATTTTGTGAATAAGCTAATATGAAAAGCATCAGCATATGTCCAGTAGTTAAAGTGCTACAGTTACTTTACAGGCTTTGTTCATATAGCTTTCGCTTTAAATATCTGTTTTACGGGTGGTTGGTATTTATATGATTTCCCATTCTGTTATTTGCTTCCACATTTTTATGTGTAGTTCAAATTTATTTCACAAGATTAAAAAAAGATGACTTTTGTGTGAATATCTTTTTTGTCCTTCAAAAAGTACTATTTAAACTTCGCAACTTGAATAAAAAAAGAAATATTCATAATCTATCTAATGCCGATTAGATAGGAATATAAAAGCCACGAGCTTTGTCGAAAAGTGTTACTTAATATTTATATTTCCTTCCTGCTGCCAGAGTTTCTTCCAGGCATCTCTTCGAAATGAAATTTATATAATTTAAATGAAAAATATATACTTTTAACAGTGTCCGCCCCCCCCCCCCCCCGAAGAAAATCTACCGCCCCCCCCCCCCCCGAATGTTTCAAATGCCCCCACCCCAGAGAAAAAAGTCTGGAAGAAACACTGCCTGCTGGCCGTGTAGGTATATAACATAATATTTATTCCAGTACGTATGAAATGACTGCACAACGTAACTTAATTAACAAAGAAAGAAGCTATACATGAAGAATTTGGAGACTAAAGCGTAGGATTGGATTCGGAATTAAATACGAACGCATATTGCAAGCTTTCTCTCTCTTAATAAAAAAAAATGCCATAAGGAAAACCCTCGGTGACCTTACACACTACTTCTGGCTGTGTAATACAGCTCAATGTCTAGCAGGTCGCTGGCAAGTTATACAAAGGCAGAGGCGGGTACAGGAAAATATAGTGAGGCGGTTGGGGGTGGTAGAATGCGATTGATTTTTTTTAAAACTTAAACTTGTAGTAAACTAAAGCATTTGTATCAGAAGTAAGCATTGCTAAATAATTACCTGGCAAATAGCAGGACAACTTGTAGCTGAAGAAATAATAACTGGAGATTTGTTTGGTTCAGCAACCATGAGCTTTACTGACCAGACAACGCCGATCCTATGTGTTCATTGAAAGTTGCAGCACAAAAATATTTTTATTTCATTATCTTTGAATTTATAACTGTGTTACTTTCAGCATTAGCTGTACAAATGTAAATGCATCCCTTGAAGTGGTTATTTTATTTCTAAATATCGAAACGAAACCTACCAATATGTTCTTATAGCTAAGATTTCCAAATCACGATGTTTTTCTCTGTTTTTTTTTTCATTTTCCGAACAAAAGAATCTAGCTCAAGATCAAGAAGTGAAAACATTAGCAAGTTGAGTTATCAGTACGGTTGTTTAATGTCTGTCGTTAGTCTTTAAAATGGCTAATTAAAAGTAATTTAACAAAATATAAGTGTGTAGCTGTTGTATATATATATATATATATATATATATATATATATATATATATATATATATATATATATATATATATATATAGATAGATAGATAGACATATAGATATATATGGACATAAATAACACAAACATTTTTTTTTAGCATTACTTAAGCATTTAGTTTTAAAATATAACATTTTCGTTCACTAAAAATCATGATAAGTAAAGTAAAAAAAAATAGTTTCCATCCATGTTTTCTATATTGCAAACATATTTAACTAAACTATGTTGAAACTTTTTATAGCGTCCTTTAGCTGGCAGACACGCTCATGTATGTAGAGATTTCACAACAATTCGACTCTGTGACGTCATTCAACTATTTACACAAGAACTGGGTCAGACTGTACCGACAGGTCGATGTGAAGCTGCACTCAGCAGACGGGTTAGCAGACGGGGAAACTTGCGTTGTCAAGCTATCGTGGTAAGTGCTAAGATTGCTGTGAAAAATGTTTGGGAATTATTATTTTTTTATTTTAATGTTGCTCTTAAAAATCTAATTTAATAAGTATTTTTAAATATATGTATAGGCTAGACTTATTAATTTATATTGATTAAATTTTTCATAAGAACTATTCAGTTATCAAAGTTGTGTCTTTTTTCTTTTTATTTGGCGTGAATTATATATATATATATATATATATATATATATATATATATATATATATATATATATATATATATATATATATATATATGTGTGTATATAATATAATGTAAATTGTCAGTCCTTAACAAGCAACCTTCCCTGATAGTGCGTGAGTTTTGTGTTATAGCACTATAGGTACTCTTCATTTGTACATAGTTGTAGTCCTTGGTTGGGTGTGTTGTGTTATTGATAGTTAGGTGTTCACCAGGGGATTGAACAAACAAACACAATAAATACGCGTGTTTTCAACGTAATTATTTAAGAAAGTTAATCAATTTAAGTATTTTCTAAAGGAGTAAGGTGATTTTATTTATTAAAATATATCATTTTCGACAGCTATTTTTCGTAGCAGTATATTTGATGTGTGAAAGTTACCGCTAAGTCAATTCCCACAACAACCCATTTTTCCTGCAAACGTCCATAAAACTCGAATTCCCTATGACCATTCCCCCCCCCCCCCCCCCCCACCATTCTTCATACCTTGCATATTGCTATCAATGGATGTCGAAAGTGATTGGGCGGGTAGTATAGTATTTTTCTAAAAATGAGAGTATTATTTTTTACTAAACACGTAGTCACTGTATTTTCCCGTACACGCTACAGAACTACAGACTACAGATCAGAGGCGTAGGTACGGGGGGCGGGGAGGGCAGCCGCCTAGGGGGCGCCAAAAGGGATAGAAAAAAAATTAAAAATCTCATTTTAAGCTGCAGTTTTGAATTATAAACAGTCCAAGTTAAGATATTTAACGGCTAAGAGCCTTTGCATACTGATTTAACTGTTTTCTACCTTGATTTTGTAACTGTAAAACATATACCTTTATTTGAAACAGTGACCGGCAAAACCGCTTTCCAGCTTTCCTAGATGGGGGGTTAGCGCTTTTTCGAAGACTAAAATCGGAAAAAATTACACTGGATTAGTGACTAGATAATTATTATCAATTGGAAACTAAATCCATTGTACTAAACCGTATTTACGATTGCGCAACATTAAAAAAAGAGTTAGTGACGTTTAAAATACGCTCTACCAACTTTGTCCAAGATGGTGTGGGCGGGGAGGGGCGCTTTTCACCATCTAAAATCGAAAGGATTCGTACTGGATCGTTGAGTAGATAGCTTTTTTAACACTTAGAAAAGAAACTAATTGTATTAACGCTTAAATGTACGATTTAACTACTCAGTGATAATTTGAAATTGTAATATACTATTATAGAAATTGTTCTAAAGACACGACCAAAAGTAAACCAATTAAAGTTTGCACCTTCTACAAAGTAGGCCTACACTCTAAAGCAGTGGTTCTTAACTTTTTGGAGGTACCCAACCCCACCCGTTTCATATGTGCATTCACCGGCCCCTTCATAATAGTTGTATCGTCCACACTGACAAAATCATTGAGTCGGGTGTGTATCTTGACCTACGCTGAAGCATTGAGCCAGAATTACCGAGCCTCTTGGGTTCGTAGGAACCCACTGTTCTTAACTCTTTTGATTTTCTTCTTTTTATTCGTTTCAGCTTCCTAAGGTGCATAGGCGTAGGCAACACTGCGTCAACTCACTTGATTTTTATGAAGATCGAACCCTAATAATCCAGCCTCCCCCTTCTCTATTTCAAACGATTTCCTTCAGGACTTATTTGGTCTTTTTCTCTTCCTCTTTCCCCGTGGACTTCACACAAGCACCTGCGTAGTGATGCTATTATTTGTCTTTCTCATATTGTGCCATAACCACCACTTTTTCATTCTCCATTGTCTTTAGCTCAGAGCCATACAGTAAAAGATATATCATATTTAGCTATAGATCCTGATTGAATCTTTTCGACAATGTATTTGAATTCCACATTGACTTAGAATTTTAATACGCATTTTATTGCTGCTGATTCAAAACAGAACGTCATTAAACCGGTTATTACAGCTTCTTCAACCATTACAATTAGCTCTGAATTTGTTGTTGACTGTATGCGAGAAGGCAGCACACATCTGATAAATACAAGACTTCGAGCTGTTATGTCCGTTGGATTCCAGTTTTTTCATCTAGCTTATTTCATTATACAATCAACCAGTCAGCGAAATACCCATATTGTATTCCAATGTGTACATAATTTGCTATTGTATATCAATTGTATGACCCTAATCTAACAAACGTATAATCCAACTATGTACTACATCATAACAGAAATTGTTCCAAAGATAATACATAAAAAGACTGTCCTATATGAATTAGCACCTGCTACAAACTGCCCATCTAAACTCAAATGAGGTTTTTTTTCTGACATTACTAATCATTTTTTAAAGGATAATGCATCTTAAAGAGAATTTAATTGGTGTCGAGTAAAGTTTTAGGGAACGGCAATCCTACATAGTAATTATTAAGAATTTTCTTGACTGTCGCGCGTGCGCGCACACACACACAAACACACACACACAAACACACACACACACACACACACACACACACACACACACACACACACACACACACACACACACACACACACAAACACACACACACACACACACACACACATTTTCTCTCTCTCTCACACACACACTCATATATATGTATATAATATTATATATATATATATATATATATATATATATATATATATACATATATATATATATATATATATATATATATATATATATATATATATATATATATATATATATATATATATATATATATATATGGGGGGGAGGCGCCAAACTGATAGGTTCGCCCCGGGCGCTGAGAGGGGTCGCTACGCCTCTGCTACAGATCTCATTTCTTAAAATTCCTTAATTTTTTGAATTTATTTATATTAATATTCTTCAAATTTGACAGTTTTTGAGAATATATAACCCTGTAAATTTGTATTTTAGGATTGAAATATTATTGAAGTAATTTAAAAAATGGTTATTCAATTTTCATGCAAATTAATAAATTTAAATAAAGATCACACAAATTATTTTATATGATGTTCTCGTAAGAATATCTATCAAAGATCAAAGCAAAGAATGTCAACGATGGCCGTGAGACACGATGTGACCCTGATGATGTCCAAGATCCTGAAAGTCCAGCCTGTCAGATTGATGTCAGCTGTAAGCAGCGCCACCACAGACCAGATGAAGGTCAAACCTTTTGAAGAGATACCTGGACCAGGTGGAGTCTACAGGTGGCCTGTGGTTGGAACTTTACTCCACTTTAAGCCTTTCAGTAAGTCTAAGATGTTTACTTTAAGCCTTTCAGTGAGTCTAAGATGTTTACTTTAAGCCTTTCAGTGAGTCTAAGATGTTTACTTTAAGCCTTTCAGTGAGTCTAAGATGTTTACTTTAAGCCTTTCAGTGAGTCTAAGATGTTTACTTCACTTTAAGCCTTTCAGTGAGTCTAAGATGTTTACTTTAAGCCTTTCAGTGTGTCTAAAATGTTTACTTTAAGCCTTTCAGTGAGTCTAAGATGTTTACTTTAAGCCTGTCAGTGAGTCTAAGATGTTTACTTTATTTAACCTTTCAGTTAGTCAAAACCTAATTTGAACTCACTTTTTGATAACTGTTTAAGTAATATCAATTGCATCTTAAAAAGGATATTTTAATGTTGTTTCTATACAGAGTAGAAACACCTTTACCGCCACAGATAAATCTATTTTATCTCTAGCCAAATACACACCAGAGACTTTGCACAAACTGAATGATTCACTCTTTGACAAGTACGGTCCTGTGGTGCGTGTCCGTCTTGGGGAGGACATGGTGATGATCTGTGACCTTAAGGACATCGACACCATCTACAGGCATGAGGGGAAATATCCAAACAGACCAACAATGGATGTCACAGGAGAAATTTTTGCCAAGAATGGATTCAAGAAGGGACTTGCAGAACTGTAGGTGATCTTTCAAAATAATCATTAGACGCCTCACTTTCACCTGTGTTCATTATTAAACACTCGACTTCCCCCTTGTATACATATAAATTAATATATACATACATGTATGTCAATAAATAAATATAAATAAATAAATGAATAAATAAATAAATATATATATATATATATATATATATAATTTATATATATATATATATATATATATATATATATATATATATATATATATATTTCTGTATACATATGTATATATATATATATATATATATATATATATATATATATATATATATATATATATATATATATATATAAAAATTATATATATATATATATATATATATATATATATATATATATATATATATATAATTTATATATATATAATTTATATATATATATATATATATATATAAATTATATATATATATATATATATATATATATATATATATATATATTACTTTACACTAGTTGTACGGGCTTGGTGGGGTGGGGGGGGGGGGGGCGGCGCTTTATATGCCAAAACATTAAGTGGGTTTTAGAACGTTGGCAGTAGATACACTATTAATGTTATACCTTTTTATTCACAAAAGATATCACCTGATATATATATATATATGTATATTATATATATATATATATATATATATATATATATAAATATATTATATATTATATATATATATATATATATATATATATATATATATATATATATATATATATATATATTATATATATATATATATATATATATATATATATATATATATATAGTATATATATATATATATATATATATATATATATATATATATAAATATATATATATATATATATATATATATATATATATATATATATATATATATATATATATATAAATATATATATATATATATATATATATATATGTATGTATGTATGTATGTATTTATATGTATGTACATATATTGTTATGTGCTAGTTCCCATTAATTTTTTATAAAATGTTATGCTTGCTATAAATTCCAAAATGAAACGTGGCTTAGTCATGAGACGTTGAACATGAAGGTTGTATTGGTGACGAATTTGGATGGAGCTATAACTTCACTTTCGAAGGGGTTGAAAGTAGGCGGGGGCTACTGAAATAGAAACAATTAGGATTGTTACTGAAATAGTAATAAGAAAATATAGTGGAGGTTGTTATTGAGATAGCAATAGGAAAATACAACGGGGATTGTTACTGAAATAGCAATATTGTATTGTATCTACTTTTTTTACCCCGAGTATCTTTGTAACACAATAATAAAATACATAGGGATTGTCTGATCAAATAATTTAATTGATTTTTTACTTGCGTGCATCCTGTTAGCCAAGGAAAAGAATGGCATGCCCTGAGAACTCCAGTCAACAAAAGACTAATGAAAGCTGACTCGGCCTATCATTACCTGGTCCCACAGAACGCCGTAGCTGATGATTTTGTCAACATTTTGGCCACACAAAAGTTAACGCCGGAGGAAATGAAAGATCTTTTCTTTTGGTTTGCTACTGAAAGTAATATAATAATAACAGATTCCCATACGTAGATTTAAACAAAACACTCAATCGTGTTATGAATAAGTGTATCGGATGATAAAAACAATACATATGTAACTACTAGCTACATGGTTAGAAGAATAAACCCATCCTTATACAGAGATACTATTTACCTTGTGCAGGTATCGCTGTGGTCACCTTTAACACACGGCTGGGTTACCTGGACGGCTCTGCTGATGCTGACGCCAAAGCTTTCATTGAAGCGTTGAAAACGATATTTGTGCATATCAATAAATCACTGACAGGAGATTTTGCTTACAAGTGGTATGGGAGTAAGAAGTTCAAGGACGCCGAACGCTGCGTTTTAGTTGTTAGAGAGTAAGTTACACTTACATTTAGCTGTGTTGGAGAGTAAGTTACACTTACATTTAGCTGTGTTAGAGAGTAGGTTACACTTACATTTAGCTGTGTTAGAGAGTAAGTTACACTTACATTTAGCTGTGTTAGAGAGTAGGTTACACTTACATTTAGCTGTGTTAGAGAGTAGGTTACACTTACATTTAGCTGTGTTAGAGAGTAGGTTACACTTACATTTAGCTGTGTTAGAGAGTAAGTTACACTTACATTTAGCTGTGTTAGAGAGTAAGTTACACTTACATTTAGCTGTGTTAGAGAGTAGGTTACACTTACATTTAGCTGTGTTGGAGAGTAAGTTACACTTACATTTAGCTGTGTTAGAGAGTAAGTTACACTTACATTTAGCTGTGTTAGAGAGTAAGTTACACTTACATTTAGCTGTGTTGGAGAGTAAGTTACACTTACATTTAGCTGTGTTAGAGAGTAAGTTACACTTACATTTAGCTGTGTTAGAGAGTAGGTTACACTTACATTTAGCTGTGTTAGAGAGTAGGTTACACTTACATTTAGCTGTGTTAGAGAGTAGGTTACACTTACATTTAGCTGTGTTAGAGAGTAGGTTACACTTACATTTAGCTGTGTTAGAGAGTAGGTTACACTTACATTTAGCTGTGTTGGAGAGTAAGTTACACTTACATTTAGCTGTGTTGGAGAGTAAGTTACACTTACATTTAGCTGTGTTAGAGAGTACGTTACACTTACATTTAGCTGTGTTAGAGAGTAAGTTACACTTACATTTAGCTGTGTTGGAGAGTAAGTTACACTTACATTTAGCTGTGTTAGAGAGTAGGTTACACTTACGTTTTAGATGTGTTTATTAGAGCTTACATTTAAGCTAATTGTAAGAGATTAGGTTACATTTTAGCTTGTGTTATAAGAGAGTAGGCTACACTTTCTTTTCAGATGTAGTATAAAGTATGTTTCTCTTACATTACAGATTGTAAACTTGTTCCAAATCAAAGTTTAACTTTATTGAAAACCTGATTTTAATTTAAGTTTGATTTACGCTTTAGAGATTTAACACACTATATATTAAAACTCAATTAGACTACCATCACTTGATTAAATAAGATAAAATACGAATTCTACCCAAACCCCATCATAATGTTTAATAACTAATGATAATATACAATCAAATAAAAGCTACACTATGTAAAACCAAATCGAGAATTATTAAAATGTTTTAATAGACCACTGTTTGTTATTTCCTACAAAAAAATAATTTTAAATGAATGATATATGAAGGTTTATATTTTCTTTTTTATTGATTGATTGTACAATGTTGATTGTATAATATTGTTGATTGCTTAATGTTTTACGCCTATAGAAACACTCTGAAACACACCATGAAGGCCCAACGAACGATTGATGAACAGAAAAGAAATGGAACTTTGAATCCTGATGAGCCCAACCTTCTGCACTATCTGGCATCGGACTCAAGCCTCACCACAGAGGACATCGTCAACATTCTCTTTGCTCTCTATATGGCTGGGACAGATTCGGTGAGTTAAAGGCATTGTCAACATTCTCTTTGCTCTCTATATGGCTGGGACAGATTCGGTGAGTTAAGGACATTGTCAACATTCTCTTTGCTCTCTATATGGACAGACTCGGTGAGTTAAGGACATTGTCAACATTCTCTTTGCTCTCTATATGGCTGGGACAGATTCGGTGAGTTAAGGACATTGTCAACATTCTCTTTGCTCTCTATATGGACAGATTCGGTGAGTTAAGGACATTGTCAACATTCTCTTTGCTCTCTATATGGCTGGGACAGATTCGGTGAGTTAAGGACATTGTCAACATTCTCTTTGCTCTCTATATGGCTGGGACAGATTCGGTGAGTTAAGGACATTGTCAACATTCTCTTTGCTCTCTATATGGCTGGGACAGATTCGGTGAGTTAAGGACATTGTCAACATTCTCTTTGCTTTCTATATGGCTGGGACAGATTCGGTGAGTTAAGGACATTGTCAACATTCTCTTTGCTCTCTATATGGCTGGGACAGATTCGGTGAGTTAAGGACATTGTCAACATTCTCTTTGCTCTCTATATGGCTGGGACAGATTCGGTGAGTTAAGGACATTGTCAACATTCTCTTTGCTCTCTATATAGACAGATTCGGTGAGTTAAGGACATTGTCAACATTCTCTTTGCTCTCTATATGGCTGGGACAGATTCGGTGAGTTAAGGACATTGTCAACATTCTCTTTGCTCTCTATATGGCTGGGACAGATTCGGTGAGTTAAGGACATTGTCAACATTCTCTTTGCTCTCTATATGGCTGGGACAGACTCGGTGAGTTAAGGACATTGTCAACATTCTCTTTGCTCTCTATATGGCTGGGACAGACTCGGTGAGTTAAGGACATTGTCAACATTCTCTTTGCTTTCTATATGGCTGGGACAGAATTGGTGAGTTAATGACATTGTCAACATTTTCTTTGCTCTCTATATGGACAGATTCGGTGAGTTAAGGACATTGTCAACATTCTCTATGCTCTCTATATGGCTGGGACAAACTCGGTGAGTTAAGGACATTGTCAACATTCTCTTTGCTCTCTATATGGCTGGGACAGATTCGGTGAGTTAAGGACATTGTCAACATTCTCTTTGCTCTCTATATGGCTGGGACAGACTCGGTGAGTTAAGGACATTGTCAACATTCTCTTTGCTCTCTATATAGACAGACTCGGTGAGTTAAGGACATTGTCAATATTCTCTTTGCTCTCTATATGGCTGGAACAGATTTGGTGAGTTAAGGACATTGTCAACATTCTCTTTGCTCTCTATATGGCTGGAACAGATTCGGTGAGTTAAGGACATTGTCAACATTCTCTTTGCTCTCTATATAGACAGACTCGGTGAGTTAAGGACATTGTCAACATTCTCTTTGCTCTCTATATAGACAGATTCGGTGAGTTAAGGACATTGTCAACATTCTCTTTGCTCTCTATATGGCTGGGACAGACTCGGTGAGTTAAGGACATTGTCAACATTCTCTTTGCTCTCTATATGGCTGGGACAGATTTGGTGAGTTAAGGACATTGTCAACATTCTCTTTGCTCTCTATATAGACAGACTCGGTGAGTTAAGGACATTGTCAATATTCTCTTTGCTCTCTATATGGCTGGAACAGACTCGGTGAGTTAAGGACATTGTCAACATTCTCTTTGCTCTCTATATGGCTGGAACAGACTCGGTGAGTTAAGGACATTGTCAACATTCTCTTTGCTCTCTATATGGCTGGGACAGATTCGGTGAGTTAAGGACATTGTCAACATTCTCTTTGCTCTCTATATGACTGGAACAGACTCGGTGAGTTTAGGACATTGTCAACATTCCCTTTGCTCTCTATATGGCTCTGACAGATTCGGTGTCCTGTATGTGGAAAAATACTGTTTTCTTATTCAAAGTAAAATTTGAAATTATCTTTCATTCTGGTTCAAATACAGTGTTTGTTTGCTACAAACATTGTGCTAGTGATGGTTGTAATGGTGATAGTAAAATAGAGATGGTATTATAAAATAAGCATTACTATAATTGAGCAATATTAAATAGTGATGATGTTAAAAAATATTCGATATACAATGGTAGTGTATCATGAATATTCATTTACACAAATGAATTCATATTGAAAAATGAACCAAATTACAGACAGCAAAAAACTTGCAAGCTTTCTTTTATAACTTGGCGAAACACCCAGAAAAACAGGAAATTCTCAGGAAGGAAATTTTAAATACGGTTGGTAAAAACGGTGTGGTAGATGCTCAAGCTTTATCTAAATTGTCTTACCTGAAGCATTGTCTGAAGGAATCGTTCAGGTGAGTTATGTTAAAATACAATTAGATTAGTTTTATAAATGAAAAAAACCTCTGTAGACTATAAATGTTTAGCACAGGAGCTAGTGCATGGCTCTTATAGCTGTGATTTGCCTGTTCTCAGATTAAACTATCCAACAGTGATTGGGACTGTAAGAATTCTACCCACTGATGTTGTGCTTGGGGGATACAACGTGCCGGCTGGGGTAAGGAAGACTCAAGCACACACTTTCAACACATTATCTACAGCTTGAATATTCTATTTTCCTATTGCGTCAAGGAAGAAGAAAAACACATTATATAAAAATCTTTAACTAGAGCTACATCATTACACATAACAATGTTCTTGTTATATTTCTATACATTATTATCATGCTATACACAGTCATGGCTTGAGATGACTTGCGTGATATTTAAGTTGGGTGGTTTGTATGACTGATACTTTTGTATAACATTCTTTAGAATATATTGTACATGCTAGTGTATAATTTGGTTTTTAAGTAACAATTGCTCAGCCCAATTTTAAGCATATTAAGCTAAGGTACCAACATCTTAACTTGAAGTCGTTTATATCAATGATTCTGTTCGAATTATTCAGACGCAGATTTTGTGCTGCAACCCAAGGTCAGCGAAGGCGTATTTCAAGGACGCTGACAAGTACCTGCCCGAGAGATGGATCAGGTCTGAAGAATGTCCAGTTGACAACTCAAACAGCATGGCGGTGATACCATTCAGCCACGGACCACGGAACTGTATCGGCAGACGTTTTGCTGTTCAGGAAATTTATTTGGCGGCAGCTAAAGTAATTACTTTCTCTTTATTTTTTGTGTTTATTACATTAAAGCTGATGAAATTCTAAACTTGACAATGTAATTTGTTCTATTTACACACAGGTCCTACAGAAACTGAAGATCGAGTTGGAGCCAGAATCTTGGAACACTGAGTTTATATACACGACATTTATTGACACAAAAACTCCTCTAAGATTCAAGTTTTCTAAACTAGACTAAAAATATATCAGAACCTCCCATGTTCTATATTTAAAAGCTGGATGTAGGGATCTAAAACACCTTTAAAAACATTGAATATGAATTCGAGAACAAATCCAACAACAACAAAAAAACGCTTATATAGGCCCAAAATAAACTTTAAACCACAACAATAATATCCACGGACTTAAAAAAACAACCTAGAACTCATTGTTAATTTACTTTTAACGCTGCATGGTAGAATCTGTTTCAATGAGCTACTGTAAACGCTTTAAATTCACATTAATTGCATTTTTTATTTTTAAATTAAATATTTTTTACTTGTGACATATGAATCGTTATGCTGAGTTACATTTTTATACCACGATCAAAACGTGGAAATAATTGTGGTCAAAGTAACATTAAAATACCTTGCACAATATGTATTTACGCAACCTAACACATATGTAGATATGTATATACACACATATATTCATACATATACACACATGTACATATATATATATATATATATATATATATATATATATACTAGGCATGCTGCCCAGCTTCGCTTAGGCTTTCAAATACATTGAGAATTTGAATGCTTAATTAATTCGCCCGAGGGTCGGTCTACGACCTCAGGAGTTATGAAGAGGTTCCTACGTGGACAAATTTTTTTTCGATTTATAGCTCATATAAAGCGCCGGTCAGTCGAGGTCTGTTTTGACCCCCTCATCTTAGACCTTTAGGCCAACCGGCACCGGCCCCCGTGTTCTGTCGCCCCAAGGCAAAATCCTGCCAAATTTGAAGCGCCTGCGGCGCCGGGAAGTGCCCGATGTCGGGCACCCAACAACTTTGCTTCATATATTATAGAGATTAGCAAATTGCATAGATAAACAAAGATTTCCAAAGTAGTTCCTTTCTTTATAGTCTATAATAGGAAGATTCACATATTAAAAAAAAAATTAGGTTTGACTTGGTGTGTCTCGATCCAGCACCACCTGTCTGGTATCAAGTACACTATCATCTCAGCTAATTAGGTATCTTTTAAAATATGAAGAATAAAAGAAGTGTTTAAAAAAATAACTTACACGAATATGCCTATTTTTTCAAATTATTTTTTTACCCAAAATTAGCCAGTTTCATTGCTAAACAAACACAGATTTCTATAAAATATTTAAGTCCTAAAAAAGTTTATTATAGAAATTTATTTTTGGAATAGATTCTACAGTAGATAGAGTCTAAATCTAGATCTAGAATAGATCGTAGCGACGTAGCGTCTAAGTGTAGTTTTTGCGTAGATTTAGATCTAGTCTAGATCTAGAATCTCTAGATCTAGAATCCAAATAGATAAAATTTGTTTCTTAAGTTTAGGCCGAGAATATCGTATTGTGTAGTCTACATTTCATAGCGTACATAGCTCTAAATCATATTTGAATGAAATAGTTCATTTTTTAAAATTCTAAACTCGGAAGATGACGTCATCAGTTTCGTGCTCTTGTTTTAGTGTTTTAGTGTAAACAATAAGCGACGTCAATGTTAAATGCGTTCTTATCCCAAGTTTATACACTTTTCCGGTTGCATAAATAATACTGTTTCTCTATATTCAAATACGCCTTTAATTTTTATTTTTCTTCTTTAAATAAAATTGTGGTTATACATTTAAAACATCTAACATATTATTTTCAACAAAAGTCCGTAAAAAGTTCTCGATATATCGCTGCCGATTCTGACGTGATGTCCGACGAAAATATTTTGCGGACAGACAGAGAGAAGAGCGCACATGGCCTTTTATATATTAGGATATATATATATATATATATATATATATATATATATATATATATATATATATATATATATATAATATATATATATATATATATATATATGAAAGTGGCATTACACTAATATGGAATGCTCAATAATTTGAATACAAATTTGAACTCTTGTTAGAATTATCAAAATACGTTTCTAGATATACATCTATATACTACTAAAAGTCAAGTTTGTTTACATGTTTGAATATTTATTTGTTTGTTTGCCTGATTGACTATTGTGATATGTTCGACTCTACCTGGACAGCTGTAAAATAGTATGTAGGTAGAGAATAATTTTTTAATGCAGACAGACTGTTAATCACAAATTTATTTAAAGACGTTAATTAATTTATTGATTTATTCATACATACAGTAACCCATTTTTTAAAAAAATATTTGAAAAGCCACTAGACTCGGCGGGACCGTGACGTCACAGGTTTTTGTTTACTCTTTAGTACAATAAAATGGCGGCGTCTATCGAAGAAAATTGTGTTCCCATTCACAAGTTTAACGCGTTCTAAATCTAATTTTCTGTCGGTCATAACTTTAACAATACGTCCGTTTGCTGTATTTATTACGTTCCAACACTTATATCAATTTTCAACTGTCTTTTTCATTTAGTTTTACAATAAATTTCTCTAGGTCTAAAGATCAGCTGTCGAAGGAAAGTTATTTATAGATCTAGATCTAGAATCTAGAATCTAAAAATCTAGGTCAAATCCAAGATTTATTAGTTATAAATACAATAAAAAAAACGAAACTTTAGCAAACCAGTCGTAGATCTAGAATATAGATAATTCTATCTAGATTTAGATAATAATGAGTTTCTATATACTAAACTATTTTAGACCTTTATTATTTTATATAAATCTTTTTTGTATAGCTATGAAATATGCTAATTAGGAAATGCTGGATGCGGGGCCTATTTGCATAACTTAAGATTCATACGCGGCTTCTATACCGCTAAGTGTGCAAAATTATAGACGTAAACTCTAGATATAGCTCAGTCGTAGATCTAAAATATAGATAATTTTCTATCTAGATTTAGATAATAATGATTTTCTATATACTAAACTATTTTAGACCTTTATTATTTTATATAAATCTTTGTTTGGAATATGGTAATTTTGAAATGCTCGCTCCGGGCCTATAAGCGTAGCTAATGATTAGATCTAGATTCTAGGTCTAGCAAGAAAAACTAAACATAAGAAGACTTAAGCAAAAGAGTCGTAGAATCTAGACTAGATCTAGATAATTCTATCTAGATCTAGATAATTTCAGGGTAAAATCACGATATAGCGTCGGAAATTATTGGGTAATGTTCGTTGAGTTTCGGTAACACTCGTTACTGTAAACCATAGTTTATTTGACCGGTGAAATAAAAATGAAGTCAAGTGCATTAAATTAATGTTTTAACTTAATTTACAGTTTAATTGACAGAAAATTAATAACAGAAAATCTAAATATTATTAATAAACTCGAGTGTAGTAATTAATGTTTTTTTTTAAGAAACAAAAAAAAAACCTGCAGAAGATTTGCGACAACCAGCTCTAGTTCTGTTAGTAAATAAGACGATTAGAATCTAGGTTAACTAAAGTTAAAAGTAGTAAGAATAACTAGAATAATGTTTAGTAGCAGCAGTAATTAGCACATACACTTAAAATAATTAGAAATACAAAATAATTAGCAAAACAGTATTTAAAATGCAACTAAAATCAATCCTTGCACATTTTTAAACATTATGTATTAAAAATAATATGGCGGCAAATAAATGATGGTTTACAGTATTTCCGGTGGTTTCCGGAACGGCTCGACAGACTACGCCATGGTTTTACTGTTTTTTACTGCTGTACAGTTCCGGAATAATAACCGACGCTATATCGTGATTTTACCAATTTCAGACCTTCTTTATTTTATATAAATCTTTGTTTGGCTAATTTAAGATAAAATTTAATTTGAAAGTTACTACTACTAGAACTAGAGTTAGATCTAGATCTATGCGCGTAAGGAGACTCAAAGTATAGTATAAAACTTCACTTATAATGCCAAGAGTAAATAGCTAACTTGGTAGTGAGGTCGGCTCTCATGTGGGTGGCACAGGTTCTAGACCAATTCGTCAATGATTTTTTTTTTCAATTTTTTTTTAGATGTGAATAATAAAGTTGCCCATCTGAACTTGGCAGGATACAGGGCTGGTGAAGTAGAGTTTGTCTGTTTCTTTGTCCTAAGCATATGAAAGGATAGTGTGGTCAGAGACATGCTCGGCTGGAATCGTTTTTTAAACGATAAAAACATGTTGTCTGAGACTTGGCGGGACACTGGGCAGGTGAAGTAGAGTTGAGTAGGTCACCTATGAAGTCAGTATATGAAGGGATAGTCCGAAATCGGTGTTTTCGGTGTTTTTAAAAGATAAAAAACAAGTTTTTGAAAGTGGGGTCTGTTTTTTTTTTGACGATAAGTGACACTGCAGTAGCGTAGCGAGGAGGGGGGGGGGGGGGCGGGGGGGGGGGGGGAAAGGGGAGGTGGCGGGGGGGGGGGGGGAGGGGGGACATATGTTGGGGCGCCAAAATGGTTTGGAAAAATAAATTGAAAGGTTGAGGGGGGTTCAAATCGAAAGTTTGAGTGGGGGGGGGGGGGGGTGCACATCAAAAGTTTGAGGGGGGGGGGGTTGAAAATTGAAATCTTGGGAGGGGGGGTTAAAATCGAAAAGTTTGTCCCCGGGCGCCAGGAAGGGTCGCTATGCCTCTGAGTGACAGACGTGATGTTTTTTGATGGATGACCCCCGAAACCCACAGTTATCCAACGGATGACGGGTATTCTAGTTACTTTTAAAACAGCAGCTTCACTTAAAACTTTCTATGTCATCCTCAATAATTTTCATTTTACACTTATTTTGAAACCAAACTTAATGTAAACATTTCGCCTCGTTTGAAAACGTCTTGGTTCTGGATACAAGAGTTATTATTTAAAAATTTTACAATTTCCTTTGTCCAATCACTGCCGGCATAATAAAAAAACCAATCGACTGCCCAAGCTAATTCGGTTAAAATCCTGTTTTGACTCATTTATTTATATTATGTTTTTGCTCGACCAAAGCATTCTATATTTCTTCATACCCTAGAATTGCAACATCTGTTAATGTTGGAAATGTACAGTATTTTTTTCAACTAATAGAATCAAATAAATGTATTGTTAAAGCTGTAGCCAAAAACATATCATGCATTATAAAGAAGAAAACTTTTCAATCGGAAACTGTCGTAGTGTCAAATGTCTGCTGGAACAACATGTTTGATTTAAGAAATCTATTTCCTGTTATGTTGAACAATACGCGCTACTTCTCCGTTCGCATAATTAAGTGTGTGATTTTACATTCGAATACGCCCTTATTCTTATTTCTGTCTTTAAATAAAATGTATTTATACGTTCAGCATAATCAGCACATTGTTCTCAACAAAAGTACACATTTTTAGGTTCTACACATGTAGCTGAAGATTCTGATCTCAGGGTTAAGACAAAATATAACAAACAGAAAGAGAAAGGGAGAAAGGCTTTTATATACTGTGATAATATTGATGGGATAAAAGCGACCTCCGTAATAAAAATATTTCAGTTGAGCATTTTTTTGCCTCGATGAAGTGTAGTATCATAAGTGTGGTCCCAGTCTTTAGGTTGTATCACACATTTTACTAATAATCTAAAATGACGACGACGGCGACTTAAATCCGTTTCAAATCGGTACATAAAAGATTTATCTTGCGCAAAGCTTGACTAATTATTGAATCCAGCGTACAAATAGATTTAAGGTTAAATTTGCTTTAAAAAGTGCTATAGGAAAGATTTAAAATAGCATGCCTAGGTTGCAAATCTCAAAGAAGCAAATAATATTCTAACACAATTTTCACACTCACAGAACATGATCTACGATATACAGTACACCGTGTGGTACAGCCGTTAGAGGCTTACCTTAGAATTAACTTTAAGTTTAAACAATGTGAACTATATAAGCTTTGATACAGATAATACAATTAGGAAACTCCTCTTTATGCCTTTCTTATTACTGTTGTCTCGCCTGTAGGTCTAGACATTTTATTGGGGTATATAATGTTTAAAGCGCTACTTGTCTAAATCTTACGTAAAGCTCAATAGTATAATACTAGGCATGCTGCCCAGCTTCGCTTAGGCTTTCGAAAACATTAAGAATTTGAATGCTTAATTAATTCGCCCGAAGGTCGGTCTACGACCTCAAGAGTTATGAAGAGGTTCCTCGGTGGACATTTTTTTTCGATTTATAGCTCATATAAGGTACCGGTCAGTCGAGGTCAGTTTTGACCCCCACATCGTAGACTTTTCGGCCAACCGGCCCCCGTGTTCTGTCGCACCAAGGCAAGATCATGCCAAATTTGAAGCGCCGGGAAGTGCCCTATCGGACACCCGACAATCTAGATCTAGATCTAGATTCCTAAAAGAATTTTTTTTTAAAGTTTAGCCCGAGCATAATAAAAAAGAATACATCAACCAAGTTGACTTGCTGTGTCTCGAACCCGCACCACCTGCGTGGTTTAATGTACACTAACATCTCCGCTATTTAGGCACCTTATAAAATACGGAGAATGAAAGACGTATTTTAAAATCTTAACTTACGCGAATATGCCTATTCTTTCAAATTAATTTTTTATCCCAAATTAGCCAGTTCATAACAAAGATTTTGTATAAAATAAATAAGTCTTGAAATAGTTTAGTCCTAATATAGAAATTTATTTTTGGAATTGATTTTAGAGAAGTTAGAGTCTAAATCTAGATCTTAGCGTCTACGTCTAGATCTAGTTATTGCGTAGATTTAGATTTAGTCTAGATCTAGAATCCAAATACATAAAATAAATTTTATGAGTTTAGGCCGGAAAAATTGTATTGTATACATTTCATAGTGTACGTAGATCTAAATCAAATTTGAATGAAATAGTTCATTTCTTTTCATTCTAAACACGGCAGATGACGTCATTAGTTAATGTATAAGCAATAGTGACGTCACAGTTTTATGCGTTCTTTTTCACATATATTAATGCTTTTCCGGTTGCATAAATAATACTGTTTCTCTATATTCGAATACGCCTTTATTTTTTATTTTTCTTCTTTAAATAATTTTGTGGTTATACATTTAAAACATCTAACATATTTTTTTCAACAAAAGTCCGTAAAAAGTTCTCGATATATCGCTGCCGATTCTGACGTGATGTCCGGCGAAAATTTTTTGCGGACAGAGAAAGAGAGAGAGAGAGAGATGTGCGAACGTGGGGATTTATATATTAGGATATAACAAACTATTGTGTTGTATAAATGTATTTGTGGGAGTTATTAGTACATTTAAAAAGCGTAAATCAAACAAGTACGCTGACTTAATGTAATTTACCAAATCGTTTTTTTTTCAATTAAAAACACATTGATTTAAAAATACCAAAAAAAAATTTATTATAATAGTTGGCTATTCGTAAGTTTTTTTCTAGATAAGTGTCTGCTGTTTATTTTTATTGTCACGCAAAAAATCTTACGTATGTGTGTTTTGACATTTAGAAAACTAGCAAGCTTGTTGTTTGATCATTAAAATATTTATTGAACTCGCGAAAACTAAAGTTGTACGTAAAAATACTTGGTACTATTGTAGGTTAGAGAAGATCTGGGCCCTCTGAGGACGTCCAGCTCGAGTGAAGGTCCGTTAGCCCTAGGTGTACAGGGGTCAAACGAGTTTATATTCCCAGCTATCGAAGCTAACCTAGCCGGAGGTTTGAATCCTGGACTTCTCGGTTTACCAGCCGTGAAGTTTACCTACCTGACCACGAAGTTTGATCGAATTTCCCTTCAGTATTCAGACAAAATTATATATATATATATATATATATATATATATATATATATATATATATATATATATATATATATATATATATACATATATATATATATATATATATATATATATATATATATATATATATATATATATATATATATATATATATATATATATATATATATATAACGTGACATCTTTTGTGAATAACAAGGTATAACATTAATAGTGAATCTACTGCCACCATTCTAACACCCACTTAATGTTTTGGCATATAAAGCGCCCCCCCCCCCCCCCCCACCAAGCCCGCGCCTAGCCCGCCCTATACAACTAGTGTAAAGGTTATAGGCGGTAAACATGTAGAGCACACAATATAAAAACCTTGAGCTCTGTCAAAAACTGTAACTTTAAACTTGTCCTCCTTACTGGCCGCTTAGGTGTAGAAAATTTTACTTCTTCCAGTACATTTGGAAATCAATACATACCATTGTTTCAATTGTAAATGTAATCAATAAATAATGAAGCTAATAATTGAAATGAAAAGCTTCTAAACAAAAGCAGTCGATTGGATTTGGTAAAAATGCAATGAGTTTTTTTTTCTGTTAATAAGAAAACATTAGAAAAAGGTGGGTCACCTGACACATTTCTTCTGGCTGTGTAATACAGCTCAAGGTCTGGCGGGTCGCTGGGAAGTTCTATAAAGGCAGAGGCGGGTACACGAAAATAGAGAAATTATATTTGGAGAAGTAGTCCGATACATTTTGTTGGTTTGGTAAACCTATAGTAATCTAAAGCGAACATGGTAATGGAAGAATTATGTGGATAAACAGATCAAGTTCCAGACACATTTACTGATTATAACATTACTAAAACAAGTCGTTTCTAAATTTAGTGCTTATTTGCACAATTGCTAACCATCAGAAATTTGACAAAAAAACGTAAATGTATTGATCAAGATATATATATATATATATATATATATATATATATATATATATATATATATATATATATATATATATATATATATATATATGTGTGTGTGTGTGTGTGTGTGTGTATACATATGTATGAAACATAATTATAGGATTTTACTCATGCTAACCCATTTTTTAAACACAATATTTGTGTAATACCAAACAAATTCATATCTTCAATTAATACAAGTTTCACTTTTAACATCAGAATTGCAATGCGCTAGCTTACTTAAAAAAGTGATAAATACAAAAAACACGATATATATATATATATATATATATATATATATATATATATATATATATATATATATATGATGAGAGACACGTTTTTTAAATAAAGTAATGCACTAGATATATTGAAAGCTAGGCATATCTTTCTTGAGAATAAAACATTGAGAAGACACGCCGATGCGAGTAAAGATTTCACAGCACTATGAATGCGTGACGACATTCAACCATTTACCCTGGAACTGGGTCAGACTGTACCGACAGGTCGATGTTAAAGCCACGCTCAGCAGACAAGTAAGCAGACGTGAAAACTTATGCAAGCTGTTGTGGTAAGTTGTAAGATAGTTGTGGAACTTGTGGAGCTGAACCTCAACTATCAGAATTAAATTAGTTCAAGATTGTGCTTAATGAATTGTTGCTTATTGTCCTCTATTGAGAACCAGTGCCAACAATATTTTCCATTTCAATAGAATTTTTTTGTTTTACATTTTTAAATACTAGGCTCATATAATTATTCTTAAAGATGCTTTGGTAAGTATTTTGAAATATGTTGATCAACTTGATTTAAATAACATTGACTACATTAAAATTATTTTTGGTTATTGACGGTCTGGATATTTTCTTTTGTCCGCTGTACTATCGGGCCTTTAGCCTATATAGTCCTAAATCAAAGATTGTTATATACTTACACTTTACACGCTGAATAATGTACGAAAGTGGTCTAAATAAAATATAGTTGATTTATGTTTAGATTATCGGAAGCTTATCCCCTGTATCCATATTGCTGGTATATGGATACATAATGTATACACATCTTAAACTATCAGTCGTGTTGAGGGTAAATTGTGATTAGCAAAAGGGTCTTCCATAAATGACGTCACACTCGTACGGACAGGAAATCCGTAAATTTGTGACGATCTGTGATTGGGGGGGGGGGGGGGGATTCAGACTGTGTTGCGTCACACTTTTGCATTTAAAAATAAGTAATTCTAGAAACTGAATTTTAGGCGTTATTTTGGCGGTTTAGAAAAATGTTTTAATAAATTGTATTAGAAATTGATTTACGTATTCTAAGCTGATCGAGATTTGTCAATATTTTAGAAAAAACCAATCGATGTTTAAAAAAAAACGACTGCAATTTTGAGGGGGGGGGGGGAGTGGTATAGACTAAGGTTGAATCATTTTAGGGGATGGGAGGTCTGACGTTTTGTAACATTTTGTTCTATATTGTAGGATTCTTGAAACAACAACTATACTTTTTAATGCTGTACATCAATTTTGTATTTGCTTTTGACAACAGTTGGATTATATAAGTATATTTAAGATGGTTGAACAATATACACTTTTAAAATATGCAGGTATAAATTGAACTGTTAAAGTGATATACTATAACATAGCTACAGAGTTGTTTTTCCTTACAAGACCGAGATCAGTTGAATAAATTTGAATCCTTTAATGTCCTTTGGTGTTGACAATAATTTACAACAGATAATTATCTAATATTTTTTGTGCAATTCCATTGAAATAGTATTGATAATATAATAATAATATTGTAATTCAATTCAATTGATAAAATACTAAACTTAACTAAAGTTCTACAATATAAACTGTTTTGTTTAAGCAGTCAAATAATAGAATCCCTATAATATCTATCAAAGATCACAGCAAAGAATGTCAACGATGGCCGTGAGACACGATGTGACCCAGATGATGTCCAAGATCCTGAAAGTCCAGCCTGTCAGATTGATGTCAGCTGTAAGCAGCGCCACCACAGACCAGATGAAGGTCAAACCGTTTGAAGAGATACCTGGGCCAGGTGGAGTCTACAGGTGGCCTGTGGTTGGAACTTTACTGCACTTTAAGCCTTTCAGTGAGTCTAAGATGTTTACTTTAAGCCTTTCAGCGAGTCTAAGATGTTTACTTTATTTAGCCTTTCAGTAAGTCTAAGATGTTTACTTTACTTTAACCTAGACTGGTTAACACTTAACCTTAGTATAAAATAAAAATATAAGTATAGGCTAACTAACAACTAAATTTAAACTATAGTACAAAAATGGCGCAACCAAATTATGTATAAAAAAGAACACTACAATTAAATTATAAAAGAAACCTAACATTACACAAATCTCAGGAGAAAAACCAGGATAAAACACCTAATCACACATGGCTATCACTTCACATGAATTACAAAAACAACTTTTCACTAAGTCTAACGCGAAAAGCCTCGACCCTCTATTGCAGACTGATCTAAACTTCGCGGTTTTAAACCGCACGAAACCCACTTACACCACACAACGCTCTTGCAAATAATTCCAAAAATGCCAATTCTCTAACAATACTAAATAATACCCATAAGAAGACACACACACAAAACAACCCTAATACTATTAAAATACAAACATGCATAAAACATCACTTTTAATAAATTAAAAAAATAAATGCTGTCCCAAAAAGACATCAATACAAAAAAAATTAAATCCTTACAAAAGCACTGAACGATTAAATATTAAACACATGTCCAACTACTATTGTATTTACTTTTTTTTTCTTTTCTAGCCAAATACACACCAGAGACTTTGCACAAACTGAATGATTCACTGTTTGACAAGTACGGTCCAGTCGTGCGTGTCCGACTGGGGGAGGACATGGTGATGATCTGTGACCCTAGGGACATCGACACCATCTACAGGCATGAGGGGAAATATCCAAACAGACCACCGCTGGACATCACGATAGAAATTTTTGAGAAAAATGGCTACAAGAAAGGATTGGCTGACCTGTAGGTTGTTTATATTTTTTTGTAATCTGTTCTTTTGTATTGCTAATATGGTCAAATAGTGTAACCAATTGTTTTATATGGGCAGAATTATGGTTAAATAGTTTAGCCAGTTGTTTTATATTGGCAGAATTATGGTTAAATAGTTTATCCAGTTGTTTTGAATTGGTAAAATTATGGTAAAATAGCGTAACTACATTTTTACCATATCTGAATAATCGAGTCAAAGCTCACATGGAGGTGCATCTCTAGTGATAACATAAGAATATGATATATTTTAATATATATATGTATAGATATATACACTCAACAATGGTGGAGTATATAATAATTTAGCATAGGGATTAAATCTTTAATTTTTGTAGTGATTTATTTAGGGCAACTAATGTTATGATCTCTCAAGCTGCAATGTAGCGGTTGTTGTGGTGTTTTACATTTTCTTTATAAATTGTGGCAGGTAAAGTTTGCTGTAAAAACATTAGTAAATTGTTTCACTTAATCTTTCTACTTTTACAGCCAAGGAAAAGAGTGGCATGCCCTGAGAACTCCAGTCAACAAAAAACTAATGAAAGCTGACTCGGCCTATCATTACCTGGTCCCACAGAACGCCGTAGCTGATGATTTTGTCAACATTTTGGCCACACAAAAGTTAACACCGGAGGAAATGAAAGATCTTTTCTTTCGATTTGCTACTGAAAGTGAGAGCAGTATTTTTCTTTCCTTTTCTTCTTGTATCAGTGCTTGTATTAAAAAAAAATAGTGCTACGGTAAAATTAGCTGTTACGACGTAATTCATGATTGCTTTTGTGATAACTATTGGCATACAGATTATTAAAACCTACAATACTGGTTAGCTAAAGAATACAAACGTAATGTTCGCCCTGAGCAGGTATTGCTGTGGTGACGTTCAACACACGGCTGGGTTACCTGGACGAGTCTGCTGACGCTGACGCCCAAGACTTCCTTTACGCGTCTAAAAAGATGTTTGTACACATCAACGACTTTATCTCCGGAGATCTGGCGTACAAGTGGCAGGGCAGTCAGAAATACAAAGACATTGAGCGTTGTATTCAGATTCTCAGAGGGTAGGGCAGTCAGAAATACAAAGACATTGAGCGTTGTATTCAGATTCTCAGAGGGTAGGGCAGTCAGAAATACAAAGACATTGAGCGTTGTATTCAGATTCTCAGAGGGTAGGACAGTCAGAAATACAAAGACAAAGAGCGTTGTATTCAGATTCTAAGAGGGTAGGGCAGTCAGAAATACAAAGACATTGAGCGTTGTATTCAGATTCTCAGAGGGTAGGGCAGTCAGAAATACAAAGACATAGAGCGTTGTATTCAGATTCTAAGAGAGTTGGTACCTCGTTAGATTTGTTCTTTAATTACTTGATTCTTAATACACATACAATTCATTAATAAAAGAAAAGTTAGCAGTGTAAATTATTTTGACGTCAATTGATATTGTAACAGAAAATATTCGAAGCTCTCTAATTCCAAAAAAAACACGTTTGTGGTTTTAGCAGAAATGCAATTGTGTAGAGTAATATTAATTACACGAATACGCATACTAGAACACATGGTCAATTATTATACTAGTATATAATAATGAATAGCTTATAATTCTGAATATACATTAGCTTGGTACCTGATATTACTTGACGTTATAATCTACACATGTATCTAAAATCTTTTAAAAATGTCATCAGTAATTCGATGAAACACACACTGAAGGCCAAGCGTGCTATGGAGGAAATGAAACAAACTGGGACACTGGATCCTGACGAGCCGAATCTGCTTTACTTCCTGGCATCTGATCCTACCCTGGACATTGAAGACATCGTCAACATTCTTTTCGCACTCTATGTGGCCGGCACAGACTCGGTAAGTATGTGTATGTATGTGCCTCATATATGTTATGGACACAGACTTTGTAAGTATTTGTATGTGTTATACTGCTTCCCCATGTTACGGTTATGTTGCAGTGCAGTGAGAGGGTTTGATTTGTTTGACTCAGCCACTACCATTTGACTCCTCTCCAATACCAGGGAGAGAGTATTATACCTTGAGAACCCCTAGGTTATGTCACATTCAAACAGATCAACAATAAACGATCAGGAATAAGATGAGCCAAGTAATCCGTATATGAATCTTTTAATCTCGTATCTACAACAACACACGTCCTTTCACACCGACGATAAGGATTCAACTGCTCACACATAAACTCATAGCAACCAACTCTCTAACCTAAAACGTCACTATCTTTCGTATCTTGTCACACATTCACTCGTTCAATAGAAGGCCGCACCATCAATCCTGCGCACCGATTTCCCCAGTCAAACATGCATCATAACAGTATGTGTGTCTCTGTATATGTTGTGGCCGGCACAGACTCTGTAAGTATTTTTATTTCTGCCCCTCCATATTCTTTGTGGGCATAGATTCTGTAAGTATTTGTATGTGTGTCTCTGTATACATTGTGGCCGGCACAGACTCTGTAAGTATTTTTATGTTTCTCTCTTTCTCTCTCTCTCTATATATATGTTGTCGGCACCGATTTTGTAAGTATTTGTATATCTGTGATTCTATTTATAGCCAGCACAGATTCTTGTTAAAAAGTAAAGAAATGCATTAAATTTTTAAGTACTCCTCCTATACTAAGTGAAATTCTTAATGTCGGACAATGTGGCTTTACTAAAAGGGATAATGTATATAATATTTTGATGGTCTTACATATAATACACTAGGCCCAGTTTTTATAAAAGAATGTTCACGTTTTGTTTGAATTAAGATTTAAAATACACTGTTTTAATGTACCTGCGCATTTTCAAATAGTTTTTTTTTTATTACAGACTGCGAAAAATTTGCAAGTATTTTTCGCAAACTTGGCTAAGAACCCAGACAAACAGGAAGTGCTGAGAAAAGAAGTTTTGGATGTTCTGGGAAAGTCTGGGGTTGTTGACGCTAAAGCCCTGGCAAAGATGTCATACATGAAACATTGCTTGAAGGAGTCTTTCAGGTCAGTCGCAGCGGTCGAATATACCAACATTGCTGACTGAAGTGTTGATATTGGCCACAGCGGTCGAATATACCAACATTGCTGACTGAAGTGTTGATATTGGCCACAGCGGTCGAATATACCAACATTGCTGACTGAAGTGTTGATATTGGCTCTAACCTAATTGTTTACATTCTCAGACTAAACTATCCAACAGTGGTGGGGACATCACGAGTTATGCCCGTTGATGTTGTTTTAGGCGGTTACAATGTACCAGCCGGAGTAAGCAACATTTTATATCAATATATTTCTTATATTTTAAATAGAGCATTGTTCTGGGATTGTAATTTTCTTTTTATGGGTAAGTTTAAAATGAAACATGGCTTTTTTGTTTTAAATCGAATTGTTAACACACAAAAATAATTCTGAAACAAATCGCGGATAACTTATGCTCTGTGTGGTTCTTTGATTGTTGTCTAGTGTAAACACGAGCAAATATTTACATCTTGTATGCGTTTCTCCAGACTCGAATACTGCTAGCCAACCCAAGGTCAGCGAAGGCGTATTTCAAGGACGCTGACAAGTACCTGCCCGAGAGATGGATCCGGTCTGAAGAATGTCCAGTTGACCACTCAAACAGCATGGCGGTGATACCGTTCAGCCACGGACCACGGAACTGTATCGGCAGACGTTTTGCTGTACAGGAAATTTATTTGGCGGCAGCTAAAGTAATTATTTTTCTCTTTATTTTTTGTGTTTGTTACATTAAAGTTTCAAGCTGATAACATGCTAAACGTGACAATGTAATTTGTTCTATTTACACACAGGTTCTACAGAAACTGAAGATCGAGTTGGAGCCAGAATCTTGGAACACTGAGTTCATCTACACGTCGTTTATTGACACAGAAAAACCACTCCGGTTCAAGTTTTCTAAGTTGGACTAAAGACACAACCAGATCTACATTTCAATGAATGAGACAAGAACAACTCATGAATTTAAAGTTTTCAAGTATTTTAATTCAGTGCATTATTATTTTTTTTTATATTGGCAGTAAAGAGAAGAAAATGTAGAAAGCAATATTTCAGTTATGGGATTTTGCCATCAGAACTTTTACAACATCGGTGAAAAAGAAAAATTATAATGATATTAAGATTGAAGGTAGATTTTTCCTGTTGAGGACTTTAATTGAACTGGCACTATTCCATGTGTAAATGACTGGAATTTATTGCTCGTAGAAGCTGCAAATACCTGTTTAATGATATGTATATATCCTATATCTCTCTTTTCCTCTCTCTCTATCCCTCTCTATCTCTCCCCCTATCTCTCTCTCTTTCTCTCTCTCTCTCTCTCTATATATATATATATATATATTATATATATATATATATATATATATATATATATATATATATATATATATTATGTAAATAGCCTACTTATATAAAAAATGTTTAATTAATGTCAGTTAGCAATTATGCTTGCAATAAAATTTATAATTCTAGAAAATGGCCTATTTACATGACAGATGTATTTATATGCTTTATATTTTCTTATTATATTGTGTAAATATCAATTGTGACTGAAATATAAAATAATTTGAAACTTACATCAATTTAATTTGTTATTTTTTTAGAACACTACACAGTGTTATAAATAAAATCAACCATCTCTCATGCAATCTATATTTGTTGAATAAAATACCTGTGTGATAAATTCAGCATAACATTGATATAAATAAAATCAACCAAATGTAATAATATCTAGATTTGTTGGAAATAATACATGTGAAGAATTCAGCATAACATTGTCAATCATTGATCACTTAAGTTTTAACCCCTTCCACCTCCTATCGGGCCGCTATTATTGAAACTTAACCATATTTTTACTCTACACTATATTAAAATACTTTTGTTTACTCTACATGTACACCTACCCATAATCTTATCTTACCAAAATTAAAGAAAGCTATAATAGCATGTCATTGTTCAAAACTAAAAGCCAATGAAATGTAGCTTTGATCACATTTTTTACTAAGTATTACACTAAGTATTAATACACTTCGGAGACCGCCCATGTGTCAGGAACGAAGAAGGGCGCTCTCGAAAGCTCCTGATTACATTGCCACAGGGGCACCGCTTACGGCCCCAGGCTGCTTAAAACTAACGTAGGCGCCATCGTGCTCACAGGATAACCCAGGGCGCCAAATTGCACCCTGCCGGGGCGCTGCCGAACGCGCCTGGTTCAATTTAGTGAACGACAATAAAGCTCCATCTTATCAATAATCTATCGCACTGTTTAAAATGAATGTAGGTGTCATAGCGCTCAGGGAAAAGCCCAGGGAGCCTAATCGCCACCCGTGAGAATTTGAAATTGTTTTTTTCGCGGAAGCCTCCACAGGAGTATTCCCTACAAATTCTCTAAGTTTCATGGTGATCGGATGAGACAAACACAGACACACACAGAGACACAGACGCAGACACACAAACACACATACATACGGACACACAGACGCACACAGACACAACCTTATACATTGCCTTTTATTGTTGTCATTAGGTCTTGACTTTTATTAACATCTCAACTGAGCAAAACACGGATTTCTGGTCCACTATACAATAACCCCAACCGCTATCCCCCCTCCCTCACTCAACCCCAGCAGAATGCATCTTTACAAATGTGGTCTGTATAGCTTTACGGCTGTGTTAACCCCCCCCCCCCCCCCATAGGGTACACACAACGTCAACACTGTTACGTTAACCGAAAGGTTAGCTGTAAAATTTAAATGTTTAACTGGATGTTACATTGTGTAACTTACAACATGCTTCTTAAAGATTAGGCTGACATCATAAAATACTTCACTGGTTTATCTAGACCAGGAAAAACTTATGTGTATGTATAATGTCTTAACCGGGAAAAAGGTATGTGTATGTAGTATATCTAGACCAGAAAAAAACGTATGTGTATGTGGTGAAGTATCAACAAACCGTCCAGTTATCAAATACGTTTTTGCAAATTACAGCACGTACGTGTAAGGTCTATGTAGGTGAACAAATACAGCATGTAAGTGTAAGGGCTATGTAGGTGAAGGCGAGAATGTGTAACTTACACATTGAGAGTCCCGTCGATATATGTAACTTTATTTGGTCGAGCTCTGTACAGCGCACTTCTTGTGGCCAAGTTGCAAATGTCACGCTTGAATGAATCTGTTTTCTAATCCCTTTTTATAGAAAGTCGTGACTAGATTCCACGAGTCACGCATGCGCATTAGAACTCCAATTCTAATAGACAGCTAGTAATGCAATAAAGAAGTAGGGCTAGGATTGAGGATAAAGAAATATTTAACGCCATTTTATTTTTGCGTATTGCAATGTTATAGTAGTGACACACTACATATGTGCACTTATAAGGTCATAAGTCACTAGAACACAACGCAATTAAACCTAACATTAATTGAACTACGTCAATAACGTTTGGTTTATGTTTATAATAATGTCAGAGTTGCATTCACATTTTTTCCGGGTCCGTTCTCGTTAAAGTATATCCACGGTTTATTTCAGATTCAGACATTACTTGAAAGTTACAGGGGGAGGGAACACAATTAAAATTTCCTGAAGTGGGAGGGTAGGGGCTTCGCCTCTACAGAGAGATGCCTAAAAAAGTCAGAGTTATCATATGTGGTTTTAGCCCATAATTCCTAACATTAATTGTGCTGTAGCCAAATATTCCAACTTTACGTAATACTAAAGCATGCATTACGGTGCGATTTTAAGCTCCAATTTTCTCCGCTTTGTTCTATAAAGCTAGGGTAGTGTGGGTTGGAGTGGGTTGCTACACCGACTAGAGTGACAGGTCTGCTAGACAGACTCCTATGTCTGTCTAGCAGACTTTTCTTGTACTTTTCTCTTCTCTTTGACAATTACAATCAGAAGTTATTTATTTTATTTTTACTCACATCTTTTTTTAATCACAATTAATATCTTACATTCTCAAATAGTGAAATATAATTGTCGGCAACTGTTTATACATATATGTATAACCATACAAAGTAAAAAGATAAGTAAACTAATTTTGGCAACAACATTTGGTGTCCGAATAATTTGATGATGTACTATGTCAGAACCAGACGGGGGGGGGGGGGAGGGGGGTAAAATAGTGTCAGGTGTGCAGATGCCATATTATAATGCGTTTAGTGTGATAAAATAGAAGTTTGTCTTTCTTGCGATCATGTGATGTTTATATTGTGTCGTGTTGTTTGCATTTGGTATCTGGTATAGGTATTTATAATTTTACATGGGGTAGTTTTAATAGTTATATGGTATTGTGGCGCTTGCATTGTGTCATTATGGTGTTTATATGAAGTCGTTGTGGTAATTAAATGATGTCGTTGTGGTGTTTAAATAATCTCGTTGTGGTGTTTACATGATGTTGCTGTGGTGTTTGGGTGGTGTCGTGGTGTTTATATATTTGCAACTAATACAAACAAGGCTATATGTATTTCATACATTAAGTTACACCAGACTGTTATGTTTGTAAAAAAACAACAACATCAAGGGTCTTATTGTTGCCAAACATGTTTATTAGCTGAAACAAATTAATACTGTATCGAGTGGGCGGGGTCACGTGATCACAAGTGTGCTCACGTGATTAGAGTTTGGTGATAGACCGCAGGTTTTCTATTTCCACGCACGTTTTGATGTTCTTGTCGTCGGCCGTGTCATCATACACACCCGTAGTGTCGTCGACGTTCTCTGTCCGTGACCTCCACAATAAATACTTCCGGTAATTAAAGTACAGTGAGATTTTGGCTTGACCTAAGGTGTATGGGAAGAGTTTAAACGTGTGTGTTTATATATATATATATATATATATATATATATATATATATATATATATATATATATATATATATATGTATAAACACACACACACACACATATATATATATATATATATATATATATATATATATATATATATATATATATATATATATATATATATATATATATATATATATATGTGTGTGTGTGTGTGTGTGTTTATACATATATATATATATATATATATATATATTTATATATATATGTATAAACACACACACACACACACACACATATATATATATATATATATATATATATATATATATATATATATATATATATATATATATATATATATATATATATATATACATATATATACATATATATATAAATATATATATATATATATATATATATATATATATATCGAAGATGAGATAACAGGTGATGAGATAATACCTACGCCATCAAATTGTTTTATTTACCTTCTGGATCTATATCGTCAATGGACTCAATTTTCACATGGCTGTGAGGCATGGACAGTGAAATCATTCGTTTCAACTAGATTAGGAAATAGATGTTAACATACACTGATGGTACAATTTTTAAAAATTGGCCAACTTGTTTAGGTTTAGTAGAAATAACATGCGGATTCCTACTTAATAACAATTTAAAATGTATATTAGGATTAAAATTCCACTTAAAAGCTTATATTGAATTTCTAGATTACGCTTAGCAAATAATATTAGCAGACGTATTACATTACATTATTTCGTTAATACCGATTATGTCATATAATAAAAAGTATACTCATAGTGCGTTTCAAATTCAAGAACAAACTGAAACATTAAAGTGGTGATAATTGTATTGATTGCAAACCTACACCATAACTGAGAACCCTAAATAGTCTACACTCTATGACTGACGTCAAATATTCTACACTCTATGGACTATGACTGACGTCACATATTCTACACTCTATGACTGACGTCAAATATTCTGTATTCTATGACTGACGTCAAATATTCTACACTCTATGACTGACGTCAAATATTCTGCATTCTATGACTGACGTCAAATATTCTGCATTCTATGACTGACGTCAAATATTCTGCCTACCTCCTCGCCCTGCTTGTTGCTACAGAGATCAGCACCGACGATATGGATGACTGGTTCACGTTTGTTGAGCATGTGGCCCAGACAGTACCAGAATCTGAAAATTCCAGTATTGATATTTGGTTTAAAATAAAGGTTTGCTACAAATCTTTTTTATAAACAGTAAATTTTCTTTTTTAAACTTTAATATAACACATGCAAAAGGCATATATTTTACAAGATGTAAACTCTGTACTTACTATCTCCATTTACAAATTGACCGTCTACAAATAGACCGCCAACTAAATGGGTCAATCTACAAACTGACCGTTTACAAATAGACCGTCAGCTAAATGTGTCAATCTACAAACTGACCGTCTACAAATAGACCGCCAACTAAATGGGTCAATCTACAAACTGACCGTTTACAAATAGACCGTCAGCTAAATGTGTCAATCTACAAACTGACCGTCTACTAACTGACCATCTACAAACTGACCGTCTACTAACTGACCATCTACAAACTGACCGTCTACTAATAGACCGTCAACTAAATGGGTCAATCTACAAACTGACCGTTTACAAATAGACCGTCAGCTAAATGGTTCAATCTACAAACTGACCGTCTACTAACTGACCATCTACAAACTGACCATCTACTAATAGACCGTCAACTAAATGGGTCAATCTACAAACTTACCGTCTACACACTGACCGTCCAGTGACCGTCTACAATCTGACCATCTACAAACTGACCATCAACTACCTGTGTCAATCTAAACACTGACCTCCACTGACCGTCGACAAATAGACCGTCAACTAAATGGGTCAATCTATAAACTGACCGTCAACTACCTGTGTCAATCTAAAACTGACCGTCTACACACTGACCGTCTACTGACCGTCTACAAACTGACCGTCCACTGACCGTCCACGAACTGACCGTCCACTGACCGTCCACTGACCGTCCACTGACCGTCCACTGACCGTCTACTAACCGTCCACTGACCGTCCACTGACCGTCCACTGACCGTCTACAAACTGACCGTCCACTGAACGTCTACAAACTGCCCGTCCACTGACCGTCTACACACTGACCGTCCACTGACCGTCTACAAACTGACCGTCCACTGACCGTCCACTGACCTTCCACAAACTGACCGTCCACTGACCGTCCACTGACCGTCCACTGACCGTCCACTGACCGTCTACAAACTGACCGTCCACGAACTGACCGTCCACTGACCGCCCACGAACTGACCGTCCACTGACCGTTCACTGACCGTCCACTGACCGTCTACAAACTGACCGTCCACGAACTGACCGTCCACTGACCGCCTACAAACTGCCCGTCCACTGACCGTCCACAAACTGACCGTCCACTGACCGTCCACAAACTGACCGTCCACTGACCGTCTACACACTGACCGCCCACTAACCGTCTACAAACTGACCGTCCACTGACCGTCCACTGACCTTCCACAAACTGACCGTCCACTGACCGTCCACTGACCGTCCACTGACCGTCTACAAACTGCCCGTCCACGAACTGACCGTCCACTGACCGTCTACAAACTCCCCGTCCACTGACCGTCCACAAACTGACCGTCCACTGACCGTCCACAAACTGACCGTCCACTGACCGTCTACACACTGACCGTCCACTGACCGTCTACAAACTGACCGTCCACTGACCGTCTACTGACCTTCCACAAACTGACCGTCCACTGACCATCCACTGACCGTCCACAAACTGACCGTCCACTGACCGTCTACAAACTGACCGTCCACTGACCGTCCACAAACTGACCGTCCACTGACAGTCTACAAACTGACCGTCCACTGACCGTCTACAATCTGACCGTCCACAAACTGACCGTCCACTGACCGTCCACAAACTGACCGTCCACTGACCGTATACAATCTGACCGTCCACAAACTGACCGTCCACTGACCGTCTACAAACTGACCGTCCACTGACCGTACCCCTCTAACCCTGAAGTAGCCACTTACTGACGAACACACTGATACTGAGGCTGGCCTATCTTCTGTGGCGTCAAAACAAAGTTCCTCAACATATACAAGTAGCCCGGTCCTCCCTGGGTTCATTCAGAAAGTAATAGTTTGTATTGAATGGAGATTTGTTATAGCATTTTTACTATAATAACTTATATATATATATATATATATATATATATATATATATATATATATATATATATATATATATATATATATATATATATAACATAACACCTTACATGAGCACTACAGAATAACTTACTTATCACACGATATACATTATATAACAAGTTACTTGTAACATAACCATGACACATACCTTACATATAAGAAGTACTGATTGAGCCTTGCAACCATTGAAGTCATTCTCTAATCTATGCTGACATTCATCTGATAATAGAATTTATTGCATTAGAAAACTTTTTTTATTGATACATGTTGTATTAAATAGAACAACAACATCACATATTAGTATTTAGCTAGAAGCCTTCAAATATGTAAGCTACTAATATAAAACCAAGTTATAAAATAGCGATTTGAATAACTAAATTGTATCTAATTTACAAGATTATTAATTTTAATGAGAGTATTCGTTCTACACAAAATATACAAAGATCCTAGTTACCTAAAATATCCTGGAAACACCAGCGATCAAAGTCCTGTGAAAATAACTAAATATTTGGTGACTCCCAAAGTATCTTTTCTTACTAAATGTATTAAAAATGCTCAAGGGAAATAATCTTGTTATTTACCAGCTTGAGTAAGTTGGTTATCATTCTTATAATTACACTTCTTGAGTTTTCCTTACATTACATTTCTAATATTTCTCAAAATTTACTAACTTTGAATATATGTTTTAATTTGCATAGATTTACACGTTGTCATCGATAATGATATGAATTTTGGTTACAACTTTTGAAACAACCATTGCAGTAACAAACATAGTAATAAACATTTTATATTTTAAAAAAAAGTCAACAAACTGCAATTGAACCTTAAGAAAACCAAACATACTTTAAATAAATTGAGTTTGGTTTCTTAAGTTTAATTGCAGTTGTTTGTTCATATTTTCTGTTAAATATAAAACGTATATTACTAAAACCTAGCTTAAAAAATGTATTTTTGACGTACGTAAACCAGGCATGTCACGTGACCATCTTTGATGACTGCCCTGGCCATAGACTGGCATCGTGGAACTTTGGAGGAGATCAGCTGGGGGAGGTGAAGGTTGCTGGGGTTTAGGACATGCGTAGTTAAAGGGATTTGTTGAGCTAATACAAGGCAAGACAGTTGTGTGATTAGTATCATAAACCTACAAGACATTGTCCTGTCGTTTAAAGTGTAAGCAGAGGCGTAAGGAGGGGGGCGGGGGGGGGGGGGGGGGGGCGGGGGGTGCGGACCGCACCGGGTGACAACATTTAGGGGGGGGTGACACCAAGGCAAAAAATAGCAAAATATATAGAGACAAATGATAATTCCACTTAATTAAGTGATTAATTCGAGTGTTAATTAGTGTTTTAAGTGGTGCAAATCGAACGTTTGAGGGGGGGGGGGGGGGGGTGGAGGGGTGCAAATCAAAAGTTTGAGGGGGGGGGATGCAAATCGAAAGTTTGAGGGGGTGCAAATCGAAAGTTTGAAGGCGGAAGGTGCACATCACAAGTTTGAGGGGGGGGGGGGGAGGGCAAATAGAAAGTTGAAAGTTTGTCCCCGGGAAGGGTCGTTAAGCCTCTGGGGGGGTGACACCATTAAGTGCCGCACCGGGTGACACCCGACCTCGCTACGCCACTGAGTGTAAGAGTTGTGTAATTAGTATCATATACCTACACGCCATGTCTTAAATGATCTAATTAGAATCACAACAAAAGCTGACAAAAACCTATATTTGACCCTTTATGGGTAATAGCTATAGTTTAGCAGATGCAGTTGCTTAATTTATATCCATATCTAACAGTTTTTCTTCCAGACTTTTTTCTCCGGGGGTCAACATTTTTCGGGGGGAGGGGGGGGGACGGACAATAGTATGTTTACTATATAAAATCCATCTCGTTCGGGAGGGGGCGGTAGACTTTCTTCAAGGGGGGCTCAGCCCCCCCCCCGAAGAGATGCCTGGAAGAAACTCTGTTTCTAAAATAAACCCTTAAACCCTTCTATCGTTAGCTAACTGGATATTTGTTAATGTTGTGTGACAATTTGGTTAAAGATACTGACTGTGGTATGTGTGGCCTACTACTTACAACAAGTCTGGGCATGTCGTCCTGTGGGTCGGGTGAGCTTGGCTCCCCTACTACTTACAACAAGTCTGGGCAGGTCGCCCTGTGGGTCGGGTGAGTCTGGCTCCATATCCACAGCATCAGACTCCATCGGCTCGCTGCCAACAATATCAGGCAGTGAGACGGATGACGTCTTTGTCGTAACCAGGTAGTCCGATGACGTCATAGTAGCAGGCAGGTAGGCGGATGACGTCATGGTAGCTGGCAGGTAGGCTGATGACGTCATGGTGGCTGGCAGATAGGCTGATGACGTTGTAATGGCTGGCACTGAGGTTGGTTGTGTCTGTGCACTAGGCAAAGTAGGTGATGACGTCAGAGTAGCAGACAATGCGGCTGATGACGTCATAGGCGATGTGTCGAAATTTGTTAAGGATACCTCGGATTGTGAATAGCCAACGCCATCTAAGAATAGGAATTAAGTTTAAGGTGGAGGCAATGTTAAAATCATCAGGTCATTCAACATGTTGATGTATTTCAACACATCTATAAAACGTCTGTTGCAACAACTTTCTCAACAGACCTTCGTAATAAGTTAATTGACTTACCTAAACAAAAGTCAGTTAACGATCTAACCAGTTATTTCCAAAACCATAATCACATGACCTATCTAACAACAGAAACAATTATATGACCTACTGCAAGAGAAATAACCACAATAACCCACATAACCACAATTGTATGACCTACCTGACCATACTCACATGACCTACCTGACCACAATCACATGACCTACCTGACAACAATCACATGACTTACCTGACCACAATCACATGACCTACCTGACCACAATCACATGACCTACCTGACCACAATCACATGACCTACCTGACACAATCACATGACCTACCTGACCACAATAACATGACCTACCTGACACAATCACATGACCTACCTGACCACAATCACATGACCTACCTGACCACAATCACATGACCTACTGACCACAATCACATGACCTACCTGACCACAATCACATGACCTACCTGACCACAATCATATGACCTACCTGACCACAATCACAGACCTGCCTGATCACAATCACATGACCTACCTGACCACAATAACATGACCTACTAAACCACAATCACATGTCCTACATGACCACAATCACATGACCTACCTGACCACAATCACATGACCTACCTGACCACAATCACATGACCTACCTGACCACAATCACATGACCTACCTGACCACAATCACATACCTACCTGACCACAATCACATGACCTACCTGACCACAATCACATGACCTACCTGACCACAATCACATGACCTACCTGACCACAATCACATAACCTACCTGACCACAATCACATGACCTACCTGACCACAATCAGATGACCTACCAGACCACAATCACAGGACCTACCTGACCACAATCACATGACCTACCTGACCACAATCACATGACTTACCTGACCACAATCACATGACCTACCTGACCACAATCACATGACCTACCTGACCACAATCACATGACCTACCTGACCACTATCACATGACCTACTTGACCACAATAACAGACCTGCCTGATCACAATCACATGACCTACCTGACCACAATCACATGACCTACCAGACCACAATCACATGACCTACCTGACCACAAGAACATGACCTATTGACCACAATCACATGACCTACCTGACCACAATCACATGACCTACCTGACCACAATCACATAACCTACCTGACCACAATCACATGACCTACCTGACCACAATCATATGACCTACCTGACCACAATCACATGACCTACCAGACCACAATCACATGACCTACCTGACCACAATAACATGACCTATTGACCACAATCACATGACCTACCTGACCTATCTAACAACAGAAACAATTATATGACCTACTACAAGAGAAATAACCACAATAACCTACATAACCACAATTGTATGACCTACCTGACCATACTCACATGACCTACCTGACCACAATCACATGACCTACCTGACCACAATCACATGACTTACCTGACCACAATCACATGACCTACCTGACCACAATCACATGACCTACCTGACCACAATAACATGACCTACCTGACCACAATCACATAACCTACCTGACGACAATCACATGACCTACCTGACCACAATCACATGACCTACCTGACCAAAATCACATGACCTACCTGACCACAATCACATGACCTACCTGACCACAATCACATGACCTACCTGACCATGAACCACATGACCTACCTGACCACAATCACATGACCTACCAGACCACAATCACATGGCTTACCTGACCACAATCACATGACCTACCTGACTACAATCACATGACCTACCTGACCACAATCACATTACCTACCTGATCACAATCACATGACATACCTGACCACAATCACATGACCTACCTGACCACAATCACATGACCTACCTGACCACAATCACATGACCTACCTGACCACAATCACATGACCTACCTGACCACAATCACATGACCTACCTGACCACAATCACATGACCTACCTGACCACAATCACATGACCTACCTGACCACAATCACATGACCTACATGACCACAATCACATGACTTACCTGCCGATGCAACAATGATGGCACCACGATGCTCTTGTGTTGACGCACGACTTGGTACTGTGCCATGCTGGGTACTGTAATGTTGCTGCCCACTCACCAGGCTGACTTGGTGGTTAATCATTGGCAGTTCTCTCACACCACTGGCTTTTCTGTGTGTATACATCGCTTATATAAAAAACAGAACTGACTTTTCTGTGTGTATTCATCGCTTATATTTAAAAAAAACGGGCTTTTTATAAATTTATATGTATACAGATTCTAGCCTTAAAATTATGAAAAGGTACAATGAATGTATATGTCAGTACTGATTATGAATTTAATAGATGAGATATTTAAAAATAAGCACTAAGAATAAGGCGTATTTCATAATGGAATCCATAAACAGTTTATTTAACTGTCGCAAAACGGCGCGTGTGGAAACAGTTTGTGGTGACATTGAGGACATCCTTACATATGTTTACTTTTCTCCTGATGACGTAGCGAGGCAGACTTCCAGTGCCAGACTTCCCGTTCTTTGAGCCAGGACTCGGCTGTGGCGTCTCTGATTCCTTCCTCTCGCAGGATCTTCCTGACGTGTGCCGGCATCATGTAGTCCTTGTCCGCGAACCTCAGCACATCCGGCGCGTGGCGTGGCGTGTGACGCGGGGAGTGGCGGGGGGAGACGGAGGGCGATCTGTACGGCCAGGCGTTGACCACTTCCGGTGGACACTCCCCCATCAAGTCGTCTTCGTCTGTGTCGGGCGTGTCGGGGCGCCGGATGACGATTTGGCCCGGGCACCCCGGCACTAGCTGCGGCATGATGACGGGGATGTGGGTGGGCGTGGCCTTGGGCGGGAGAGTCCGGCTGGATAGAGCCGAGGGGTAGGTGTGGAGGCGGGTCAAGTCCGAATGATTGACAGCTGCCCGGCTGTCTTTACCGGGCAGCCTCAGATGGTCACTGTATCTCATGTCTGACAGGGAGATAATCTACCTGCTGTCAGTCTAGGGGAGATAATCTCAGCCTGCTGTCAGCCTAAGGGAGATAATCTAGACCTGCTGTCAGTACAGGGGAGATAATCTAGACCCGCTGTCTTTATAGGGAAGATAATCTCAGCCTGCTGTCAATCTAGGGGAGATAATTTAGACCTGCTGTCAATCTAGGGGAGATAATCTAGACCCGCTGTCAGTCTAGGGGAGATAAACTTGTCTAGGGGAGATAATCTAGACCTGCTGTCAGTCTAGGGGAGATAATCTAGACCTGCTGTCGGTCTAGGGGAGATAATCTAGACCTGCTGTCAATCTAGGGGAGATAATCTAGACCTGCTGTCAGTCTAGGGGAGATAAACTTGTCTAGGGGAGATAATCTAGACCTGCTGTCAATCTAGGGGAGATAATCAAGACCTGCTGTCGGTCTAGGGGAGATAATCTAGACCTACTGTCAATCTAGGGGAGATAATCTAGACCTGCTGTCAGTCTAGGGGAGATAATCTAGACCTGCTGTCGGTCTAGGGGAGATAATCTAGACCTGATGTCAGTCTAGGGGAGATAATCTCAGCCTGCTGTTAATATAGGGAAGATAATCTCAGCCTGATGTCAGTATAGGGGAGATAATATTAGCCTGATACCAAACTAAGTATAATAATCTTAGTCTGCTCTCACAATTGAGATGAGAATTTCAGATTTCTGTAATTAAAGGCATATAAATACATTAACATTGAAAAATAACATTAAAACAAAACTTTAATTAGTGTCATATTTTAGAAAATCTGCTTGTAGCAAGAAATCCCAGCCACATTACAAGAAAAGTCGAAGAAGAAGGAAAAACCTTTGCACGCAATAATTGGTGGGAATAAAGTAAACTGACTCATCATGTTAATATTTTATTTCAGATCTAACAGGTTATATGATGTTGATGTAATGGAAAAATGACAGGTTATATGATGTTGATATAATTTAAAACCAGTGGCGGCTATTTATAGTATGTGAACTGTGTATCGTTGCCTTAAGACCAAATTTAAAAAAAATAATACACTACATCACTCACCTAATTCTTTTTTCATTTTTAGCACTAGAAGAAACTGACTTTTAGCCTAATATTAAGAAAAATATGGTATACTTATCACAATAATATTATAGAAGTAATATTGCATTTTATTTCTAGAAATGTATATAAATCTTAAATCTAAAAAAAATTCTACAGTTTAATCGACCCATTTTGTGATTTATGTTACTGTGTTACACATAGGATCTACTGATGTAATAGCTGTGTTTGGTTTGATCAAAATGACTGAAATGTTTTAGGCTTTAATAAAATTAAAATAAAACTTTCGGATGAAATGGCATTCAAACTTGCTCTAACAACAGCAATCCATATCAACATTAGTAGGTACCAAATATTTAAAAATCATAAAACTTTGTGCACTTCGCGTCAATTAATCATACATTTTGGCACTAAAATTAAATGATTCCTTTGAATTTCGAACTAAATATCAAACAATAATAAGAATATAAATTATACTTAACAGCTATGTACAGATGACACATACTTTATTAAACAATATAAACAATAAGCCCTATATTACTAAATAAGTTTGGGTTAATTTAAATACAAAATGAATGAATCCCCCTAAGAATATTTACATACTGGAATGTCCTGATTAAGCCAATAACATCCCATGATGTAAACAAGTCGTAGACTAGAGAGCCTCTCTGTTACACCAGCTGGTCGGTCCCCTCATTGTTTGAACCTCTAAACTGAGGGAGTTAAAATATTTACAACTCACCAAAGGTCAGTCCCACTGTATCCATGTCGAAAGTAACCCGTCGAATGCCTTGATAAAATCAATGGGCGATTAGAAGGGTAGATAGTCGGTTGGGCGGGGAGTTCTGACAATAACACAAGGGAAGCAATCGATACAACATTGGTCCTTCTCTCCCCTGGTTTTAATAAATGATGAGTTCAGCGAAGTCGGCGCAGCGTTGAGTGAGGGGTTTTAAAAAAAAATGCTGACCTCTCAGTGTGCTGCTTTATTTTTTAACTAATTAATTTCTCTGTTTGATGTTGATTAAAACAATAGAAAAATAAAGTCATTTGTAATTCATTTTTAATTTACCTCGACAAACCCACGACCAAATGCGAAAGCCAACGTTGTTAGAATTCTAGAAGTGAAGGCTGTATAGCCGACGAAATCTATCTATAGAGGCAGTTATATAAGTCTCCCTATATCTTTATGAGTATCAAGGTGTGTCTGTACACAAGTTATAATATAATTATGAGTATATGTATCCATATACCAATGTATGTGGGAACAATTAAACATCATATCTACATGTATCTATTTCGAATGTGTACTTGTCTGAGTATTGATAAATTCTAACAAATTGTATCTGAGAAATAAAACCGAAAATCGTTTAGAACCAAAGTAATTGAATGAAGAACTGACAATTTGATATGCCAACAAAATAAATGTCTTCATGCCATTTTTTCACATAAATGAAAGAAAACCAGTGACGACGATATAAACTGATTTAAATAGTAATATCATTTATAAGTGCGCTTATAAGTTAAATAAATAATTTTGTCTTTTAAATTTTAATATGTTAATATTGTAATTTATAAGTTAGTTAATGCGGATAAAATTCTATTTTCGAATTTAAAACAATAATATTGTCATTTGGAAGTTAACTTTCTAACTTTGAATAATAATCTGGAAGTAAAAAATATGAGTTGTTTATAAATGGTCATTTCTTGAAATAATTATATATTTAGATGATTGTAATTTAAAAGTTAAACAAAAGCATAAAAGTATAATTAAATTGCTTGTATGCTATTTTATTAGTTGTTATCAACCAGCTGGTTCGCGGACCTTTGACCACATGGGGTTTGACCATAGGGTGTTTGACCATAGGGGGTTTGACCATAGGGTGTTTGACCACAGGTTGTTTTGACCATAGGTGGTTTGACCATAGGTGTTTTGACCATAGGTTGTTTGATCATAGGTTGTTTGACCATAGGTTGTTTGACCATAGGTCGTTTGACCATAGGGTGTTTGACCATAGGGTGTTTGACCATAAGGTGTTTGACCATAGGGGGTTTGACCATAGGGTGTTTGACCATAGGGGGTTTGATCATAGGGTGTTTGACCATAGGGGGTTTGACCATAGGGGGTTTGACCATAGGGTGTTTGACCATAGGGGGTTTGACCATAGGGGGTTTGACCATAGGGTGTTTGACCATAGGGGGTTTGACCATAGGGTGTTTTGACCATAGGGTGTTTTGACCATAGGTTGTTTGACCATAAGGTGTTTTGACCATAGGTTGTTTGACCATAGGGTGGTTTGACCGTAGGTGGTTTGACCATAGGTGGTTTGACCACAGGGGGTTTGACCATAGGTGGTTTGACCATAGGGGGTTTGACCATAGGTGGTTTGACCATAGGGGGTTTGACCATAGGTGGTTTGACCATAGGGGGTTGACCATAGGTGGTTTGACCATAGGTTGTTTGACCATAGGTTGTTTGACCATAGGTTGTTTGACCATAGGGTGTTTGACCATAGGGTGTTTGACCATAGGGTGTTTGACCATAGGGTGTTTGACCATAGGGTGTTTGACCATAGGGGGTTTGACCATAGGGTGTTTGACCATAGGGTGTTTGACCATAGGGTGTTTGACCATAGGGGGTTTGACCATAGGGTGTTTGACCATAGGGGGTTTGACCATAGGGGGTTTGACCATAGGGTGTTTGACCATAGGGTGTTTGACCATAGGGTGTTTGACCATAGGGTGTTTGACCATAGGGTGTTTGACCATTGGTTGTTTGACCATAGGGGGTTTGACCATAGGGGGTTTGACCATAGGGTGTTTGACCATAGGGTGTTTGACCATAGGGTGTTTGACCATAGGGGGTTTGACCATAGGGGGTTTGACCATAGGGTGTTTGACCATAGGGTGTTTGACCATAGGGGGTTTGACCATAGGGGGTTTGACCATAGGGTGTTTGACCATAGGGTGTTTGACCATAGGGGGTTTGACCACAACGGGGTTTTGACCATTGAGGTTTGACCACAGCGGGGTTTTGACCATAGGGGGTTGGACCATAGGGGGTTTGACCACAGGTGTTTTTTCAGCAGAGGTTCTTTGATCACAGTTGGTTTGTCAACGGGTGTTTGATCACAAGCGCTGTGTGCGGCTTTGATCACAGGTGTTTTTTCCATATAGGGTCTTTGATCACAGATGGTTGTCAAACCCCCTATGGTCAAAGCTCCGCTGTGGCCAAACCCCCTATGGTTAAACCCCCTATGGTCAAACCCCTTATGGTCAAACCCCCTACGGTCAAAGCACCTGTGGTCAAAGCAACCAGCTAGTATAAAATTCTGCAGTTTCTCAAACTATTGTAGGCTTACTATTAATTTTTAATTAATTTTAATTTATATTTAATATAGTGAGAAGATTGCTATAAACATGAGAACATATTTGTAATTAGAACAGAGAATTTTTTTAACACATGAACTAACATTGTGGTTTTCTAAAGGCATTTTATTTTGTTTAAGAATGCCTATACTGTTTTGTTGTCTTCATTCTTTTGATGTTGTAATATCAAGCCTTTATTTTGTTATGTTGTGGTTTGGTTGCTTTTGTTGATATGCTGGTATTAACAAATGTCTACATGTCGTTATGTTGTTTTTATTGATGTGCTATCTCCTTTGGCCGTTCTTGTGGACTGTAAAGATCGTGTTTCACTCCGCATACCTCGCTGTTTCAACAAAGACAGAAATATTAAAGTGTTCGATATTTCATCGATTTTTATAGCTAATAAAGAGAGAATATTGATTGGGTTATTGATTTTGATTTTGTTTTACTTTGCTTAAGTATAGACAGACCGCACCCTACTGAGGTAACAATTTAAACTTTGATGTGGCACATTGTTCGCTTCATCTCTCATGGAAAATGGACGCTGTTATGTTAATGT